GAGACCACCTTCCACAGGACTATGCCAGACTGATGCATTTCTAGAACATTCTTCTCCACAAGGACTGCCAGCAACACCAGCACTATCCTTGACGGGAGGAACTGGGTGGGATGACACCTGACGCCGTTCAAGGTGTTTGCCCTTCTTGACCCTGGACCCCATCAGAACCTCACAACTTCCCAGGAAGAGCACCCACCCTCACCATCTAGAGCAGAACCGAGTTTCTGGACATAAACCTCATAACAGTCATGTGACCTCACAGTGCCCACATGACGATGGCAACTCTTACAAAGGAAAACAATTACTGGGGTGGCCTACATTTTCAGAGCTTTAGTCCATGATCATCGTGGTGGGATACAATGACATGCAGGCAGACATGGTGTCAGAGAAGGAGCTGAGAGTCCAGCATCTTGCAGGCAACAGGAAGTGGTCTCAGACAATGGGCAGTACAAGATCTCAAAGCCTGCCTCCATGGTGACACACTTCCTCCAACAAGACCACACCCACTCCAACAAGGCCACACCTCCTAACAGTACCACTCTCTTTGGGGATCATTTTCTTTTCAAACCATCACACCTTCTATGGCAGAACTGAGCTTCTCCACACTAGACACCGTCAAAATTTCACGAAAGTCATGTGACCTCACAGTGCCCACCCTCACCCTCAAAACAAGCCCTTGAGAAAGGACTGCTGTTGCGAAGGCTACACGGCTTCTGATGCACAGGCCCATTTTAACTGACCAGACGATTCTAGGCCCCCACATAGCGACTTTCAGCAGAAGGCCACTCGCCTCACAGTGACGGTACCCAGGACGGAAAGACCCGAGGGTGCTTCCAAAGGGCAGCATAGCCTCTGTGCTCCCACCTGCGGAGTCAGGAGGCACCTCCAGGAGACCTTTCCCACAAAGCACAACTCCACTACACAACACTAAACACATCACAGGTGACCACACAACCATTCTGCCTACAGTCTGCAGCGTGGATTAAAGACATTCACTGTCAGTGAACATGCAGGAGTCCGAGGCGCCATTTCTCCTGTCTGCGCTGAGAGCATCCCAGAAGCTGATCCAAATCTTTAAAGTGTGTTTGTCTTTCCCAGTTTATACAAACCTCACTGCAGGTGTTAATCTGCATGCTAAGAACCTTTATTAAAGAGAGCAACGTGTAGGAAAAGTGCCTCTTTACAGATGCTACCTGTGTGCGATGGGGCACAGAAAAGTAAGTATCAACACAAACGCTCCACGATGTGGTTAAGGTTTTATTGTAGATATGAGAGCAGAGAGACAGAGAAGCAGACTGGATGTGGGCAGGGTTAGGGAAATAGGAAAGAATAGCGGAGATAATGAGAAGGCAAGAAACAGAACAGGAACAGTAAGAGAGTGAGTGGGAGTGAGAAGGGGGGGAGGGAGGGAGGGAGGGAGGGAGGGAGGGAGAGAGAGAGAGAGAGAGAATATGAGAATGAGAATAGTGAGAATAGCAGGGTTATAAGAGGAAGGAGTTCTGGAGGACGGAAGTCCCTGAGCTGGAGAGAGCTTAGGGTAGGTGAGCTAGTAAGAAGGGTTGGGACGCTAGCTCGTACTCCGAAAAGTATTAACGTGTACTTGTGAAACTAAGGGAGCCTGGAGGCCATCACGGGCTCTGGTATGCTGACAGAAATCACAGGTAGCCATATGATCCTTCTGCCAGGTGAGGAAAATGGCTCCTTTTGGTAGATAGGAACCTGTTTCACAAGTTCCTGAGGAATGCTGACATTTACCTACCTGCCAGGAATCCTCCTATGGTCTGAATGGAGTTCATTTCTAGATATGCATACAGACTGCTTTTAACCTGACACTACTCACTTACAGCCACATGTACCCCTAGAGAAACAGAGGCACGGCTGGGGCATCCCGTGTCATCCTTTCTGGAGTGGCACCATTTCCCAGATGCTCCCGGTCACTTCCCACACACCCTCCATGTGTTGCTATGAACTGGGCACACTTTCTCCCACACCCGTCTTCTACTTGGGCAAATCACTGATTTCCACACTATATGGAGGGAAGGACCTACGCTTTATTTACTTTTGAGTTGCTAATCTACTTTGATTAGATACTTTTATAGTATAATAAAGATGAATTATGAGAACCGTAATTGAGAAAATTGGAAAACAAGTTAGTGTTGGTTAGGAGATGGGGAAGTGAGAGTCTTCATACACTGATGGGAATGTAAGATAGGGTAGCTGCCAGGAGAACAGGTTAATGTACCTCAAAAAATAAATAAATATAAAACTCCCACAAAACCTAGAAATTTCACTATGGATGGTTTAGACAGACCTAAAAGGCCTTGTCTCGATGGTGGCACTATTGGGAGGTGGCAGAACTTGGAGGAGGCCGCAGGGTCTCATGGCACAGTCTGTCATTCTAAGGAGATAAGAAGATGGCATGTTCAAAACTTGGCTGGACTACTAAGTGAGCTCAAGGCCATCCTGGGCTAGCCTGTCAAAACCCTGTAGCAAAAAGGATAGAAGAGGGATACGGGTACCTCTCAGTGGTACAGTGCTTGCCTGGCACGTGCCTGACCGCAATTAAAGCCCAGTGGGTGTGTCTTGCATCACCATAACAGACCCTTGAACAAGGTGCAGAACCCTAGCCTCTTCCTGTTCCATTCTGTCACCTGGCTGACAAGGTGTGTACTTTTGCCATGTGGCTTCCCCATCAGAAACCCAAAGCAATAGGCCACTCAGTGACAGATGGGGACCTCCAACACTGTGAGTCAAAACTAACCTTTACTCTTCGAAAGCTAGTCAATTCAGTCCTTTTTTGCTACAGTGACAAAAGCTGACGAATACGTATTTCTAGGTGTCAGTTCAGAAGAACTAAGAGCAGGTGACCAAATGGGCAGGTATGAGTGTTATGCCAGCACTGCCAATCCACTGCAGACAAAGAACGGCAATAATCCAATGTCCATAAAAGAATGGATGAACAAGATATGACACATTCAAATCACAGGAAATGATTCAGCCATAAAAACACAGGGAGTACAAATTCATGCTAAAGTGTGGACGAACCACGAAAACCTGAGGTGAAGAGAAAGAAATCAGACACCAAGGGCCGTGTGTCACCTACTCCATCCGCACGAAACATCAGGAGTAGGGAGTCTGGAAGCAGACAGCAGGTTAGCGCTTACCAGGGCTCAGGAAAGGAAGACTTGGAATAACTGCTTCACGGATGAGTTTCCTCCTCAGTGGGTAAACATGACGTAGAACCAGATAGAAGTGACAGTTGCCCTAACTCTACATAGCACTGACATTCACAATGCCCCAAAGGTACAGTTTCAGATGTCTCATAATTCTCTTATGTGAGGTCCAAGTGAATTTCTACAAGCAATGAAAGATAAAAACTACAAGCTCACTAGACATCTAGTGGCTCCGTCAAGGAGCTACAGTCTCTCCTTATTCTAGATCCCCAGTAGGGAAAGGATCTTCAGAACCGCCTGAGCTGCCCCTCTGGAGGCCACTGGCCCTACTCCCTGGGTCCTTCTGTGCTGATTAATCTTAACTAGATCTGGAACCAACTAACAGACACACGTCTAGATGGATCTGTAAGAGTATTTCCCAGAAAGGCTGACTTCTGGCGGGGAGATCCTCCCCAGAGATAAGGAAATCCGAGAGAAGAGCTTTTTTTTTTTTGTTTGTTTGTTTGTTTTTTCGAGACAGGGTTTCTCTGTGGCTTTGGAGCCTGTCCTGGAACTAGCTCTGTAGACCACCACTGCCTTCACCTCTTGCTAGTGAGTGCCTCCATCCGACAGCTGTCCCTGATACTGCTGCCCCTGCCCTTTGCTAACATGGAAACACATTTCCTCAGACTTTCAGCATGAACTAAACACCAGGGGCTGGCTGACTCTCCAGGAATCCTCCAGTGTGTAGCACCAGATGGGCAACCCCAGCTTTCCTGTTCTATGCCTGTCAGTGGCACTGCTTGGCTTGGTTCACTGAAGTCTGTCTACACTTGACTTCTGAAACACCACTCACATGCAGTCTTATTCACCTTACCTGTCTCCTTTTCTGGTCAACCCATCTATCAATGCTCAAAACACCGCAGTCCCCAGGCTCGGGCCTCAGTCCTTTATGCCCCCTCTGCGTTCCTGTACATTCACTTCTCCAGGAAACCTCGTCAGATTGACTAATACAGCGTCCTTATACTGAACTCTCAACTTTTCACTCCTAGTAAGGGTGCTCCCCCTCAACTCAGACTTCACACATCCAACTTCTACTTACAACCCACATGTACGTGTCATGGACTTCTCAAATCTTGTGTAAAAGTAATCTCACAGAGACTGAGACTACACCACAGTTGTACAGCACCTGTCTAGCATGTGAGATCCTGGGTTTAACGCCCAGCATCTCACACACAAAAATAATCAAGCGTGGCTGATACACATGTACAACCTCAGCTCCCACCTCACATACATCCCCAACCATCACTTCAAGATGGGGAAGGGGTCCGCTCAGATCTTTTCCACAAAAAAACAACAGAAACAAGGTGGCAGGGAGAAACTTTTGACACTTTTTCCACAACATTGAGTCTCATGTTGCTATCCACAGCAAATCCAGGGGACCACATTAAGCTCACAGCCATTTCTTTAGATACTAAGATTAGCTGGGGTGTGGAGAGGTGGTAAAAAGCCGCTCCCTAGCTAAAAAGCTATTGGTATCTGATTGCTGCTTGAAGAAGGAAAATCAGATGTCTTTATAGATGTGGTGCCTGGTTTATCAACCACACTCCAGGGCAGGTCCTAACACAAACTAGACTCCAGGAGGGAGAGGAGGAGGGCGGAAGAGAGAGGAGGAGAGGGAGGAAGAAGTTGGATGGATAAGAAGGTGGGAGATCTGGAAAGAGCGGTGTGATATTCTTAAAGAATAATAATTTAAAGATCCCCAAAGCTCCTATGAAACACGCCCACAGAGAACAACGACTCCCCTGCTGGGTCGACTCAGCTTCAGATACCCACCACAGAACCTACCACTTGCTTTGGCTTCTGAGTAGGAGGGGCCGTCCTCAAAGGTGAAGATCTGGGACACGCTCTGGCCCAGGTAGGAGGGAGGCCCATAGTATGAGTGCATCCTGTACTGGGAGCTCACCGGGTGACGGCTCTCCGCGCTCTTCATCTGCGGAAGAAAAATGAAAGGACACCTTTGTTATGGTTTGAATATGTAATGTTCCCCACAGGATCACATGCCCAAGGCCTGATCCCCAATGCATGGGACTGACTTGAAAAATTCTGGGACCATTCTGGAAATGGGACCTAACTGGAGGCAGTAGGCCTCCAGTAGTGGGGACAGGCAGACTCTAAAGACAGCTTACGTCTGACCCCCCTAGTGTCTGTCTTTTCTTCCTGTGCCCCACGAGGGGAGCTGCCCTGCTCTGACACACACACTCCGTATTGCAAAGTCAGCACAGTACAGAAACTCTGCACGTTATATATCTAGGTAGGGTCTTTCACTTAAACCCAGAGTTCACCAGGTCAGCCACTCAAACTGGCCAGCTGCTCCAGGGATCTCATCTCCATCTCTTGATGATTGCATGTGCGTGTCCAGGCCTGCCCCGTATTTGTGCAGATGTGGGCATCTGAATTCTGAACCTCACACTTTCATGGCAAGCATTTTACCCACCGAGCGGTATCTTCAGCCCATCTAAGCTTGGGCAGGTTATGGATTATTATTATTATTATGGATTCTGTAAGTGCTTCAGTAGAACTCCAGCACGAATGCTACAGGATTCCCAGGAGCCAGTTACACAGTCGGAAAAATCCAGCCCTGGCCTAGCAGTCAGGGCCAACTTTAAGCACCAGATGTCCATGGACTCTGGGTGCTGACTCAGACACATCTCCCTCGGGTCTGACGATATCTAAAAGTCAGTTCTTCAAAGCAAATGGTTTTCAATATCTCCTTTATACAAAGCGATAGGACTTGAGCCACCAAGCTTTACAAAATGCAGCATTCTTCCTTAACTGTAGAAGCACACACAAACCCTGAAATAGTTTATATTCACCATGACTTCAGAGCAACACTCTGCAAGTATTTTACTATAAAATGACCAAAGAATAAACTAACTGAGGGTTTGCCAAGGCATCTCTTGGCAATAGCAAATGAATGGGCATGACTGTGTCCCAATAAAACTTTATTTATAAATATGTGGACAAGTTCTCAGTCTTGTCTCTCACTGAAGTAAAAGAAGGACCTGATGCCTTGGTTCTACCCCTGGAAAATCTAATTCAACTCAATCGGGATGTGGCCTGGACCCGGAGTCTTTTCAAAGCTCTTTAAGTAATTCTAACATGTCACCAAGACTCTACAAATTACCAATATGTATCCATACACCAGAGAAAAACAAGATCCCATGAAGTTAAAAAGTCAAGTCTGATAAGCAGATTGGCCAACAGCTGTCATCCCAGCATGCGCACTGCCCAGAAAGCTATGCAGACAAATGGCATCCTTTCAAACAGCTCACAGGAAAATAGTACCGCTTCAAAACATACATATGTTTATTCTCCCCCACTTAATTATCTTTTCAGAAAGCATCAGAAACTGTGAACTTGAAATTGAGCTATTTGTATTCAATTACTCAGATTTCCCAATGTCTCCGTGAGATCACAACAAAAGACTTCCAGCACAATAAGAAGGGGGAAAAAGGATACAAAAAAGGCCAAACTCCATTTGAGGTTATTAAAATGTGAGTTTACCAAGGTCATCGATCACTCCAGCTACATCCAACTCAGAAAGATGTGTCAGGGCTGAAGAGGTGGTTCAGCCATCAGAGAGAGGCTAAACTCAGAAGGAAAACTTACGACCACAATAACCATCTACTCACAAACCTGCACAGGAGGAAGGATTTGAGTCTTTAAGAACACAGAGGCCTCTTAAACACAAAGTTAAAACTGAGTTGATGTTCACCCCAGAAGGTCTGGGGGTTCCTGCTCCCTTCTAATTTTAGACAGACAAGACAGACTGATGATAGACAACACAGTACTCTGGCTTAGGCAGATGGATGGATAATGAAGCCTTTGAAATTTATTTGCTCTTAAACAAGTAGTTTTCATTTGGGGACAACCTTGTCCCTATGGGAAGATTGGATATCTGGAGACATGCTCAGTTGTCATACCTGGAAGCAAAGACAACTGCCTCAGGCATCTAGAGATAAAGGCCAGTGACACCGCTATCCTCCCATAGGGCCCACGGCAGTCCCCGACAATCAAGCATCCACCCCAACACCACAACAGTGCCAAGGTTAGGGAACCTGTTTCAAACTAATCTAATACCCTGAGGGCCCTTCCCTCCCCTCTGGGTGAAAGATAACCATAGCGGCAAACTGAGTAACTGTTCAGTTATGTACACGGGCGATATTAGTTACACACACACATACACACATATGCACACGCACACGAGCAAATTATAAAATGCTAACTTGTTTCCTTGAGATTTTATTTTTGTTCCTTTATATTAAACAAATAAACCAAGCAAAACCTAAAAAAAAAATCCAAGATTCCAGTGAATTATGTCTGCTATTATTATTAGCAAGTGGTGGCCGGCAAGCCAGAGACATGTTTTATAATCTTATTATGCACCCCAGTCTCTGAACCGGAGTGTGACCCACAGATGGGAGCTGAGCAGGCGGCAAAGGCATGCGCTGTTGGCATTAACTCCAGAAGAAACCTTGAAGCTTGGGGTTTTGTGTTACTGAACTGTTGAGAAAATGCATGGCAATAAATCTGAACCACAGGCTACCTTTTCCGTACCCTAAACCATCCTGTCTCTGGTAACAGGGATATCCCAGGACAGCTCAAGAGTGTCTTGACCTCATCGTTTCCTCTTTAAAAATTCCTGAATCCTCTCTGCCAACTGACTGTCTAGCAGGGCTTCAGACAGAAGTGTTCGACGTTATGGGAAGCTGAACTCTCCTCCCAGGTGAAGGGCTCAAAAGGTGTGTCCTGGCTGTTAGTAAGCTAGCTCACAGGTAAGCCGCAGGTTAAAGAGAGTGTTCCCAGAGTCCTCCAAACAACAATACAACTACCTGCAGGGATTACCAGACCCTGACACAGGATTAGCAGCCCTGTCTGGGGTGAACCTTTAGTTTTCTGATCAGAAACAGTCTTCACAGGCTGGAACCTCAGGTCTCCAGGGCACACAGAATAAAGGTGGGAAATTAACATTTGCTGTCCTTAAAACAGTTTCTTTGGTTTGCAATGCTTATTCCCAGGTTCGCTTAGCCGTCCACTTGAGCCAGGGCAGGCCTCACCTGTGCAGAATGCTTCATCAGAGGGCCCTGTTGGTCCACTGGGACATACACCTGCTCATCTTCCACACCGTATGCTGCCCTCGGCGGCAAAGACTTTCTTTTTAATGTATTGGCTAAGTGCCTGCCATCATGCACACAGCTCACAGCTATCAGAACAACAGGGGATCAAATGCCAAGTCCTGTGATGCTGGCACATTCCCCATGGCTGTGACCCAAGGCTCCCTACTGCCTATCTCCACCTACTCCTAAGAGCCACTAACTTTGGTGCCTTCTTCACTACGTTCTCATCACCTTTCTTATGTGGCTACATAGTGAATGACCCAGAAGAGCAAAGGAGAGGGAGAGAGGGAGGGACAGAGAGAGGGGAAGAGAGAAAAGCACAGGGCAGGGGAGGGGAGAGAGTAGGATAAAAGAAAAGGGAAGAGGAGGAGCGGGGAGGAGAGGAGAGAAGGAGGGAGGAGAGGAGAGGAGAAGGAGGGAAGAGGAGAAGAGAGGAGAAGGAGAGGAGGAGAGAGGGGAGGGGAGAAGGGAGGGGAGAATAGGAGAGGGGAGGAGAGGCAAGGCGAGGCAGGGAGAAGAAAGGCCTAAAGAGGACACAGGTGCCTGTGAGGGAGCCCAAGGAGTCTTCAAAATATTATGGGGAGGGTGCCCACCATGAAGACTGCCCTCAAGATGCTGAAGAATGCAAAAGATGTTTGTCTTTATCAAAGCATTTAAAGGATGCTCTTCCCCTCATGAGAGCAGGAGTCAGGGCGGGGGGGGGGGGGAGATCAGCAGAAAGCAAATAATTTAAGAACCAATACGTCTAAAGCCATCTTAGACTATAAAGCCCAAGCTTACCAAATCAACAGCCACAGAAAGAAGCATGCAAAAACAAGAAAACTCCTGTACATGGGGCTTTTCCAGGAGAGATGAAGAAAGGAGTTTATCTCAGTAAATTCAAGCAATGAAAAACAGCCACAGGATGCACCATGGCAAAGTGAGCAAGTTCTTTGGAAACAACCAAAGCTGACGGTGTCAACATTCGATAAGCCTTTCCCCGGGACTCTAAATCCTGGAGCACCCGAACAGTGGCTCCTAAGTCCTGAGCAGCTGGAAGGGACACCCCATGGGACTTCAGGATCACATCTGGATATCTTGTAAGTGGTCTACAGTGCTTGACATCACCATAAAAGCAGGTAATCTGTGGATACTGCTAACTTAAAGACCCAAATGCATGCTTTTCAGTGTTCTCACTATTTTCATTGGTGGCACTTCTTAGACTGTGTTTTCCAAAATACAGAACTGCCACTCATCAGGCCCTGAAATAATCCAGTTGCCATCCACACACAACTTGGAGGGCTCAAACAGGAGAATCTCTTGAGCTCAGAAATTCAAGATCAGCAAGACCAGAGGACAAAAGGGAATGCCAAATCCATACGAACAGTGTGTGGACAGTAGGTAGAATCGCCAACTGTGAGCGTCTGTGTACCTGAAGACACGTGGAAGCACACTCACTGTAGGTCTCGGTCTAAAGCATTCAAGACACTGATGTTGTTAACCAGGTAAAGGGGAATTTCAAAAACAGGTACTTAGTTAGAAAGAAACAACCAAGTAGAATCTAAAATGTTCCCTTTCCCTGGGACCTCTAAGGTTTTGGTATATTCCAGGGGGTTAATGAAAGAGAGGGCTGGCTGCCTACGTAGCTAGGACTAACTACCTTAGGGCCTTTATCATCCTTGCAAATTCTACAAAGAATCCTCTGGGCTCTAGAGACAGACGCTTGTGTTTGTATGATTCACGATCTAGGGCTAGAAAGATGGTGTAGGGAAAGGCACATGTTACACAAACACTAGGACCTGAGTTTAAACCCCACAAAAAAATCAGCCAGGAG